TATTTATCTATATGTGTCTATTGATGGCTGATTTGTCTGAGTGCCAGGAATTCTCGTGTTTTTGAACTGTGCTTGATATAGGATGCTCACATTTTTCCAGGATGAATTATACAGCAAGGGTCCCCAACCACCGGGCCGTGGACTGGTCCCGGTCCGTGGAACATTTCCTACTGGGCCGCTGTTTTGCTGGGCGCCACCATCTTGTTTTGACGAGAAAGTGCTTCCGGGTGAGCTTTTCTGGTTGGAAAGCGGCATTTGGGTCCTGAAGGAATCCTTGCGCCTTAGTTTCATCAAAGGTGGGGGTTCGAATGAAACTAAGGTGCGGGGATTCTTTCAGCACCCAAGGCAAGGCAAGCCGAGTGACTGTCCCAAAGCCATCCCAAAGTGAAGCCCATCGACAAAGGTACAAAGGAGGAGTTGAAGGTGGCGGGGAGAAGCGGGGGACGGCTGGCTGGCCGGTCACTTGGCTCGCCTTGCCTTGTCATGCATGCTGATGCCGGTACCGGGCCGCAGATCATTTTGTGATGCCGGTACCAGGCCATGGCACAAAAAAGGTTGGGGGCACTGTTATACAGTCTGACCATGTATTGTGAAATTAAGGAATTTTCATAGATTCAAGTATTGCACATTATGGATCTTACATCTATACATCTACAAACTGGATGTAGGATACATCTTACACAGTATAGAAAAATAAAATACTAGAAACTATTATGTTATTTTAAATTTGCTTTACATTAATTCACACATACCTTTATACCATGATTTCCCAATCAATTTTTGACTGAATATGTGAATTAACTGAAATCATTGGGTAACAATCAGTGTTGGACATCATTCAGTGGAATTTAATTCACTCAGCAGGATTTTCCTTCTTTTATGTATTTATCTATATGCTCCTCAGTCTATTTAGGTTTCTCAACCTAAAGTGGTATGTGAGATCCTACAAATTGAGAATCAATTCCCCCAGTATTCCTGTTCCAGGACTGAATGATTAATTATATCACTGTACTTAAGGTGCAATAGCTCTGTCAATCACATTCCATTTGTACTGACAGATATTTTGGAGATATGCATATCTTAGCATCTATAAATGAACTTAATCATATAGTTAATTTACAGATTAAATTAGGGCTAGGGCAAAGCAGCTCCAACACAATATTCGAGCTATACTTGGAAAAGGTTAATTTCACATTAGTTACTTGCTGCTATTTTCAAACATAGCTTTTCATTTGTGGCATGCAGGTGAAATGGTGTGAAAACATAGTTAATAAAAATAATAGTCTTGGCTATGTGTGCAGGGCTTCAGTGGCAGGCGATTGTGTGCAGTTTCTGCCTGGGCTCGCCACTGGAGCACCCGAGCCAGCTGGCTTTGGGGCTAAGCCACTTCGTAGAGGTGGTGAAAAGGGGGGAGATCGCCAGCAGGGTCAAGGGGAGCCGCATCTCTCCTCCTTAGCCAGCCAAACTCCCTTTCTCGAAGGCGGTAGGACCGGTGGTCAAAAATGGCCACCTCAAAAAAGCACTCAATCGGAAAAGAAAGTGCAGGAGGAAGATAAGAAATGAAAGTTTTGGCTGACCGGGATAAAATGCAACAACTAAGGTACCCTGGAATTTAAATTTTATAAAAGATAACATTGCTCCCAAAGAAGAGTCGGAAGCAGCGAAAGAAAGTGAAACGGTAAAGTTTTTTTTTTTTTCACTCTCCTTCCTCACATTGACAGTGATGAGAGCTGAATAAGAAATCGGAAAAATCCGCTTTGGCATTAATAGGTAAAGCTAAAAATATAATTAAATGCCAAAGGGACAATAAAGATTTCTGGACACTAAAAAAAATTTTTTTCTATAAGGAGGAAGGGAGAGGAAAAGAATAAGGGCAGGATTTGGAAGGAGGAGACTGCCTGGACTTCAAAAGAATCTAAAGTAAAATCTCAATAAGACTTCTAAAAGATACATTTTAACTGGAACTTTGGAACTAAATAGTAACCCCAGGAAGAGAAAGTGAAGAAAGAAGAAAGTGTAAAAAGAAACAGCTTGTGTGTATTTGGATTGCTTGGTGACTTTGGGATTTTTGGATATTATATTTGAATGACTAAAAACAATTGGGTGGCTGTTTTAAAAAAATCCACAATGGCATCACTTATGGATGAACTGAAAATGGAATTTAAAAAAATATAAAGAAGAGACACAAGAAGGGAAGGGCTTCTTTGGCTCCGTTTTTCAATTCTTAGAAATGGCGATCTGCATCTACGAGAAACAACAAGAAAAGACTGCGCAACTAGAAGATTGGGACAAAAAAGAAGCCATCTTTAATGAACAAGTAACTCTATTTGGGGAAGAAAGGGGAAAGGGCGGGGGGGAAGAATGGAGAATTTAAGACTTAAAAAAACAGCCAAAAAAAGGGAAAAATAATTTGAAAAGTGGATATAAAGTTGGAAAGCAACAGAAAAGGGGAATACAAAAGAGGGAAATGGAGGTGGAGAGACAGGGGGGTAAAAAGAGGAGAGAAAAGAAGATAGGGAAGAAGGAAAGGAAGAGAAGTTACAAAGGTGTGGAGCAAGATGTAAAGAAACAGGACTTATTCAGAGATAATGGGTGAAAATTTAACTGAAAAAGGGATTCTGTGAAGGTACGTAAGATTGTATTGTTATATTTGTAATAGAAATAATGTTAGAAAATTGGAAACAACGTATGATTAAAAAGTGGGATAAAATAGTCAGTGTAATTTAGTGAAACTTTTGTGAATAAAATAAATGAAATAAAATAAATGAGAGAATTGAATTAGGAAGGAACGGGAACATTATAATTACTTAAGGTTTTATAAAATATAAGTGAAGTGGGGGGGAATTAACTATGGAAAGTTTATAAGTGTTCCCATAGAAGTATGATACTTATCTGAAAAGTAATGTGTAAAACATTAAGATTTAAATTAATATTAATATTAATGATAGAATTGAATTGGTATGGATTGTTGTTTTAATTATATTATACATTTATAATTTTTTCTTTTTTTTTAATACAGTGTGTAGTTTTAGAATGTACCAAGCAGAATCCGAACGGAAGTTATGTACTATATTAAGTGTTATAATTTTAGGGGAAAGATATAAAGACGTCATACTCCAATCAGTGATCACAGGAGAAATTTTGCTCAATGAGAAAAGATAGACAGTTGAAACAGGACAAACAAAAAATATAAGTACAATGATTTGAATTGAGATGAAATAAATAAAATAAAATAAAGAAAATTAAAAGAGGGGAGAAGCTGTATAGAAAATGTAGAATAGTAATAAGATATGGAATGGAATATAAAAATGAGCATGAACTTGAATTTGTATCTGTACGAAGAGATGTAACCCGGGATTATGCTGCTTTCAAAAAAGATGTTTTATGTTTTGTTCGTTTATGTTTGTTTTTAAAAATCAATAAAATTTTCAAAAAAAAACCATAGTCTTGGATTCTGGAGTGAACTATAAATTGTTTGTATTGCGAATTCATAGGTTATATTTTCCTTCCAATGTTTTTCTTACTAATTTCACCTCGCTTTGTTTCATTTGCAATTGCAAGATTTTCTTTCATAGGCTTCCAGAATGTAATCAATACTTAGACACTGACAATGGCATAACTGCATATTTCAATAAGTAAAAAATGCTTTACATGTCATTGGAACTGCAATGCTGACTTTTCTTCAAAGAAATTAGGCCCACTGAATATAGTAGAATACATAGCTTTGCACTGTCAGTACTAAAAAAATGTTTATTGGGACTGTATTTTTATTTTCACGTTACTAAAGTTAGTAGACAATCCAAATGTATAACTATCAGGAAAACTTTTGATGCTATAATTCAGATTGCCTTTTAAGAGTTCTCAAGTAGGATTATCAGATATCTAAACAAGCAAAAGATAAAAATTACAGGGAAAAGGTGCAAAAAAGTACTTTGGCTTACATGTATATGAAATTATTTTTTTCAGCAACAGAAGGACTGGATTTTCAATTGCAAAGATTTGCTGATTAGGAGGAAAAACCCTTTAGCATATATCTGATTAAGGTCTTGTCAATTTCAGGCAGCAGTGCAAACCAAAATACTAATCAATTAATTAAAGTCACAGAGAAAAGTTGTTAATTTTCCATCATTAGGAAAATACTGTGCAGCAGAGTGATGCCTTGTTGTTAGAGACTCAAAAACCCAAACAACATTTGATTTTAAGGCTATGCCTGCCAGATGAAGAACATGAGGACAAAAAGGAGGGCGTGTTCTTATTTTGCCAGATGGCTGATCACTCTAATTTCAGGCCAAGGAGAGCTACTGTATTTGATTTCTATAATCTCTGGAACTTCTGCAGATGCAAATCATTGAGTGATATCCTGTTTCACACTTTCATATTCTTGAGCAGATATAAATTCAACCTACGTTTTTCATGGCTCTGAATAGAAACCAGTCCTGAAGGGGGTCATAAAATTGTTACAGACCCAGATTGGATTTGTTTGCTCTTCTGTATGTCAGAATATGTGACAATAAATACAAGTTCATTCCTAATCTAACCTGTACTAGAAGATATAGTAGAAGCTAATGTGAGGTTGTTAACTTAGAGATATTGATGGTTCCTATAGTTGCTACACAGTTTGTCTTGTCCCTCTTAAACTATCTACCAAAACTGTTTCTTGAATCTAGGGAGATTCTCAGTCATCCAGGTCATGGTTGTCCCAAAGGTCCTTTTTCAAGAGGCAATTGGACAATTGCAATTAGACTTTCTGGTTTTTGGACAGTTTGAACATGTTTTGCTTCTCATCCAAGAAGCTTCTTCAGCTCTGGCTGGATGGTGTTTCTTGAGTCTAGGTGTATTATTAGAATGATTTTTATCCTCTATAATTTTTCATATTTTTAAAAAAAGTTTTGTTAAACATAATTTTCTCCTTGACTTAGATTGTTACACGTGTTCTGTATTTCAAATCTGTTTTAAATGACTTTAAAAAATCCCTGATAGCTGACTCTTTTGATTGACAGGTTGACCGGACAGAAGTCATAAGAACTTGCATAAACCCTGTCTTCTCAAAGCTATTCACAGTGGACTTTTATTTTGAAGAAGTACAGAGGCTACGTTTTGAAGTCCATGATATCAGCAACAATCACAATGGGCTGAAAGAAGCAGATTTCCTTGGTGGCATGGAATGTACTCTGGGGCAGGTAAAGTATTTGTGGTTTTCTTGGCGCTTTTTTTTTTTTGCTGTCCTCATTTACTTCTGTAACTGCCAGGAGGCTTGCTGACTTTAACACTAAAAAAAACCTAAAGACCAAACATACACTATCAATAAATATTAATAACTGTACTTTTTATGCAAATTCTGAGAGAGAGATAAAGATTTGACAAATGAGCTGAATGAATGGGATATGGTATCATGATAAGTAGGGTATGGTACCATGATAAAATAATGTTGACAGATGGAGTAACTGAAGCAATGTCTGGTTATATTGTGAAATATGTAATGCCTCCAACATCATGTATAGTTAAAAAAATTCAGAAGAAATACAAGTTAGTACATCCAAGGCACCTACACTAGAAGCAACAAAAGATTTGACAGGTTTGAAAGGCACAATAAGCACTGGAAGAAGAGAAATGTAATATTAGTAAGAATCAACACAAATAGAATTGCGGGGGGGGGGGGGGGCAAAAAAAAGAGACACTAGTATTGACCAAAATTTTAATGAAGAAGAGAAAATAAATGATGTTTTAATTTATTGTACATCACTGCTTGGTGAAGTTCCAGACAACTTGAGAATTAATCTGGTTAAGAAGGGAAGATAAATTCTTCAGAGTAAAGATGGTCCTTTATCACTGAGAAAGATAAAAAGCAACTTAATGGTTTCAGAAATACTTATGAAATGGAGAATTATTGAGAGTTGGGATAGCTTATTCAAAACCAAAATAACTTTTCTAGGTTATCTATTTTTCTGATGTGAAGTTTTGGAAGAAGTTAGAGACAAACAACCTATTCTCTAACAAACAATTTGGTTTCAGAAAAAACTATCCTGTAATCTGCAATTCCTACACTGCAAAAACATATGGACTATACAACTTGATCAGGGCAATTGACGCTATTTACATAGACTTCTGATTCAGTGGTACACAACAAACTACTTCTAAAACTAAACTCTTATGGTATCTCTGGACACCTGCATAAGTGGATAGATGCATTCCTGTCAAACAGGCAACAAATTGTCAAAATGGGGATCGCCCTATCAAATCCTGTACCTGTCAACAGAGGTGTCCCCAAGGCAACGTTCTAGGACCAACCCTCTGTATACTCTACATAAGTTACCTCTGTGATTATATTAAGAGCAACTACATTCTTTTAGCTGATGATGTAAAGCTATTCAACATCACTGACAATACTGCTACCCTTCAAAATGACCTCGACTATGTGTCAGAATGTTCAAACAAGTGGAAACTTCAAATCTCAACAAATAAATACTCTGTCTTACATATTGGCAAAAAAAATCAGAAAATAAAATGGAAGCTGAATAGTCAAGACCTTGTTGATGTCCCCAACTATGTCAAGGACCTTGGAGTACTTGTCTCTAATGATATAAGTGCTAGAGTCCACTGTAACTACATAGCCAAAAAAGCATTAAGAGTTGTTAACCTAATCCTGTGTAGCTTTTTCTCCGGTAATATCACACAATTAACTAGAGCATCCAAACATTTGCTAGACCAATACTTGAATACAGCTCATCAGTTTGGAACCCACATTACATATCAGATATTAATACAGTCGAGAAAGTCCAGAAATATTTCACAAGAAGAGTTCTCCACTCCTCTACTCATAGCAGAATACCTTATGCCACCAGACTTGAAATTTTAGACTTAGACAATCTAGAACTACGCCGCCTTCGGTCCGATCTAAGTATAGTACATAAAATTATCTACTACAGTGTCCTACCTGTCAATGAATACTCCAGCTTCAACCACAATACAAGAGCACAAAATAGATACAAACTCAAGGTAAACCGCACCAAACTTGATTGCAGGAAATACGACTTCAGCAACAGAGTGGTCAATGTCTGAAATACTCTACCTGACTCTGTGGTTTCTTCCCCAAACCCCAAAAACTTTAAACTTAGACTGTCTACTATTGACCTCACCTCGTTCCTAAGAGGTCTGTAGGGGGCATGCATAAGCACACCAACATGACTACCATCCCTGTCCTATTGCTTTTTTTTATTTTTATCTATTTTTTGTACTTATAACCATGTTTATACTTATACCTGTTATATAATACTTGCTTGTCAAATAAATAAATAAAAATAAAGTTAATCTGACACAAAGATACAGTATTTGCAAATAGGAGAAGTGGCTTCGAACAATATGCAGTGAAACTCTAAGCTTTGTTCCTTGGTGTCCAGAAATTGTGGAGAAGGCCATTTATTATCAAATTATAACATGTAAGGAAATGAATTAAATTTTAATGAAGAGGCCAGGAGAAAGTGTAAACGATGCTAGTCATATGATGCCAAAAGAAATCAAAAGCACAATACCATGCCTGTTTTACCTTTTGCTAGGCACTTATTCTAAAGAAATGTATCAAATAATGGCAGTGTTCACTATGATTCACTATTCATCCATTTCTGCTATTTTAAAAAACTTCTGGAGGATGTTATCAAATGTAACAGAAATTTATAACACATTTTCCTGTGAAGATATTTTAGAGGCAAATTTTCATCTTTGGAGTCATTTAAAAACCACTAGAATGCCAAAGAAACAAAGACATATACAGTATTGTAATTTGAGGGATTCATTGTAAAATTGGTTTTTAATGAATTTCTACCAAGCTTATCTATTCATCCATCCATCACTTATTTTCATTCTGCCTTTATTTTTATAAATAACTCGATGAAGTAAACATATTTAATATTCCCTCCTCCTCCTTTTTTTTCCAGTTGGGCTGAATCAGACTGGCTGGCCCAAAGTCACCAGCTCACTAAAGTGGAACATTTCCTAATTAGTATACTTGTTGATTTGTGTGAAAGAAGTTTTTTAATATTGAAATTAATAATTAATAAAATGACTTTAGTCAACTATGAATTGACAATAGATTGACAATGGCTGTATTGTCACTTAAATATAAATACACAATAAATATCAATGTTAATGGTCATTAAAAAATAGGCAAAAGTTAAGGCTCAAAACAGAATGTGTGTCTGTGTGTGTGTTTGTGTGTGTGTGTATTTATGGCCATTGCTGTTATTCATTGCATTTCATAATTATTACGGAATATAATTTTGTAGTATAGAGAAAAAAAAGTATTAAAAAACAATTGTTCTAGATGTCACATTCCTTAGTATGCCACTGTGATGAAGCTTTATACAAAAACGTGGACTATCCATAAATGTCAGTGGTATTAGGAATCTGGTCATTAATCCCAAATTGGGGGTCAATTCTGGGCCTGATAATGCTCCAAATTCAAGGTAAAATGTTAGCAACCTCTTCTAGTGGAGCGTACCAACACATGATTGAGTACCAACACATGATCACCTCCAAGATGGCAGCAATGGAGGAAGCATAGTTATATCGCAGAGAGTTAAAAGAAGAGAAAAGTTGCTATGAAATGAAGATAAATGATAGGAGGAGAGGTGGAGAGGGAAAGATGAATCACAGAATAAATCATAGAGAAAGAAAAAAGTGGAGAAAGAAAAGAAGAGGAAGCAAAACGATCCAGCAGAGTACAAGGAGGCAAGCTGGTGAGCAAGTGGGGCCCAGCTGTGGAGCAGTGAGGAAAATCATCAATGGGGCAGAGAGGCGAGCCAACTGAGGGCAAAGTAATGACCAGCAGAGATGAAAAGGATGAGCTGATGTGAGCAGGGAGGAGAACTAGCTGTAGAGAGGAGACAAGAGGCAAGCTCACCATAGGCTATCCAGGCGTGAAGCAACGCAAATGGAAGTCAAGCGGCCAAAGAACCAAATGCAGTGGTAGTGCAACTGAAAGGAGAGCCAGCAGCAAAAAGAAGAAGATCCTGAGAGCAACGCAGAGAGGAGGGTGGGAAGCAATAGGAGAGCATTGGTGGAACCTAAGGCTGTCGGTGGTGGTGGAGCATTGCAGCAAAGGGAATCAGCAAACTGGTGACTGAGAATGGCAACAGAGCAGCACAACAGACCAACAGACGGGTGTGGGGGGAATGGCACGAACTGGGAAAAGCAGGGAATACCCAGTAGTGGCAGGAGAAAAGCAAGTAGGAAGAGAAGATAAAAAGACAACATAGGACACAAAGCAAAATAAATCAAAGGAAAGTAGCAAGTACGGAACATATAAAGGCAAAGAAGAAAGAGATAATTAAGCCTATCAGAAGGCAGGGAGGGAAAGGATCATAAAAAGGAAGGGAGGAACATTCCAGGATAGGCTAAGAACCTTGCACCATCAACACTGAAAATTTTAAAATTGAACAATTTAAATTATCTGCTAGAACTTTAAGTTTTTAAAGTAGACAATTTTGAACTATATAACTTTAAATCCTTAAACTAGACATTTTTAACTAATAGAACTTTAAATTTTTAGCTAGACTTCCCCCCCTAAATTTTAAATGATTTGTTAAGAGTACCAAAATTCTAAATTGGACATTTTTCACTTTTAAAAATCTGTAGTAAAACCTACACTTTCATTTTCAATTTTTTAAAAAACCCATTAATGGAAAAAGAAATTGATACTATTGTGATCTGCAGAACATGTTCCATGGATACACTTATGTCCAAAGAATAACCTAACTGTATATGTACCAAAGGTAAACTAATCAAGCTGCTAGAAGAAAAAATAAAGGATCTAGAAGGAACTCTAACCATTCTGAAACTCAACCTACAAAATGAGAAATCCCAAACCTTGCAAGAAAAATATACCAAATTGAACATAACAATGATCAAACAACTTCTAAAAGAATTGAGCCCTTAGAGGAAGAAGACAGATAGAAACATGTCACTCATAGAAAAAAACACAAACCTAGTACAAAATCCCTGTACAACCCAACCCACTCTATCCTGAAACAGTTTGCTGTGGCAACATTGCCCAAATTGCCCTTTAAAGGAAATGAACAACACAGTGATCAAAATAAGTCCAGCTGTTCTATTTATGAAAAAATTGCTTCTATGCTAGTATGTATTTCAGCATATGAAGCTCCACCAGAAATCTTCTAATGTATTTTATTGACAGAATTGTAATCTATCTCACTTTTATTACATTATTTACTCCCTTTGTATTCTTGTCTCTCTAGGAAGTTGCTCAAATTGCCTAAAATAATTTTCGCTGGGTTTTTTTTCCTTCAAGCAACACAGTGATGTAGGTAGAATTATTCAGATCATATTACAATTTGTCCAAGCTTATACATCTTAATGACATTATTTGCAACATATTGGCTTTGGGTTAAGACAGCAAAACATGGGTTCAAATCTTCCATTGGCCGTAAACCTGAGTCAATTATTAATATTGCAATACCACTGTTATTTACACATTAAACATTTAATATTATTTACATTATCACTGATATTTTTGGCTCATTTCTGATAGCTGTATCCATGCAGTTTTCTTGGCAGTGTTATAGAAGTAGATTTGTAGCCTTTTTAGATTTCTCTAGGCCTGGCATATTAACTTTTTTTAACCTAATCAGGACAAAAGGTTTGATTTCCAAGATAAGGTGAGATGAATTTGCTGCTTGCACCTGCTACCATTTAAATATGCACTATATTAAATTAAGTCAGATGTAATATGCACTATATTAAATTAAGTCAGATTATGGGAGCAGAATGGAAGTTCTGATGTGTATAACATAGTTGAACCAAAAGTTATGCTCGCCTCTCGAGAGCTGAATTAGAGGCAATCCACCAAAAACAAGAGGGAATTGTAATGTTTGTTACATACATTATGTAAAGCTAATGTAGTTCCATCAAAAAGCCTTTTCCCATTTTTGGCAAGAGAATTAACATTTTTTTTCCTGTAATGGATAGTAAAAAACAGCACTTTTTCTCAGAACTCAAATGTTAAAAAGGTTATTTTTAATACATTTTTAAAGCAAACATGAATATTTTTTTATCTTGCATTTAATCTTCACCTTCCAGTGGTGGATAAAAACTGTTCCTTTCTAAGCCTCCTTTTTCAGAGTTTTCTTTCCTCTGCTATAGCAGCTGTTGCTGATACTGATTTACTGCAAAGCTATGGGAAAAGAAGACAGGTGCAGGTCATATTTTCTCTGGAAAATTAAGTGAGCATATGACAGATAACTGGAAACTCAGAGAATGACAGGTCTGTAGATCTTTTAGCCACATTATAGATGACAGTTCCAGAGAGAAGCAGTGATGTCTAAGCAAAAATAAAATAACTGAAATGGGCTACTCTATGGCTACATCTGAAGTCTGGAATTCGTTGTTCCCTTTCTTGTGTGATTCATTTACTCATCATTTAACATAGGATTTTTTCACCAATTATTGTGAACTATTGTGCTTACTGTTGTGGCTTAAATTTTACTGTGCTTTATAATTTCAAAGCATATTTTAAAATTATGTGGCATAGTCTTTTTAATTTGTTTTCTGTTGATTGTTCAGTAAATTGCATGCATATATCATCCAGACATAAACTGTAGCTCATTTGATCAAGTTTTCTTTTTTTATTATATACAGATTGTTTCTCAGAGAAAACTCTCAAAATCTTTATTGAAGCATGCCAACACAGCAGGGAAATCTTCCATAACGGTAGGTCTATCTCTCCTAATTTTTTTCCTTTTCATGGGGGGGGGGGGTAATACACATTTAACATTAGTTTTCTCAATCTTTCCTGAATTTTAAATAGAAATCCTTTGTTGGCATATGCACACTATTTTCCAAAACCTGACAATGATAAAACATAGCATATGTTTAAAAATATGTGTTGACTTATTGATTGAATGATCTGCTCTTCACAAAATACACCTGCATTAGACTAGTTTACAGGCAGAAAATCAAATTTTATAAGGCATTAAGACAGGGCTGTCACACTCACGGCCCGCGGGCAGGATGGGTCACGTGCTGGCCATGCCCACACCTAGTTTAGCGAAGGGGGAAAAAGTCCTGATATGTTACGTGATGTCGCCATGACAACGGTAAGTTTGACACTCCTGCACTAGGGTGTATATTCCTTCAATTTCAAATCAGCAATTGTTAGCCTTAAGTATAGAGCAACAGCATAATGGATGCTGTACTCTTAACCCAATCATTTTTCTTTTAAAATTGAATTTTATCTCACCACATGTAATTCTTTGTGAAACTTTCACTTCTCAGTCTTATTTTTACAACTTTGAAATCTGAAAAGCACTACAGAAATATATACTTCTAAATTAAATGTTACTGCTGAAATCTCAGAGAACTGTTTTCATTAGTTTCCCATTAAATGAACAATGGAATAACCAATATTACTATGTGGTCATAAAGACAACATTTTAAATTGGAATGGAATTTAAAATTGTTGTGAGGGACCTATAATTAAGTGAGCCCCATGAAAGGAAATGTAAATTGAATTAGCTTGTGTCACTTAAGCCTGGAACAGCAGTTTTGTTTAGGACTAATCAAATGCCCAGCAATATTTGTGTAAAAAATACAGTGAAAATATTTGAGATCAAAAACCACCCTTGACCAAACTGGTGTCTCAGTGGGTATGTGGGGCAGTGATCAACATTTGAAGATAGCATCACAATCCCAAATCCCTGCCACTTTATTCTATTAAGAGAAAGGATGGAGTTATTTTACAAGTCTGCCCCTGCCATGTTATCAATATTGACTCCTCTGAGCAGACTGCGTTTCCCTTATGTTTTGGAAAAGATGTTCAACAATCCAACAGGCACGGTTTGTTGTTATGTTAACAATAGAAGATTACGATAGCATGTCAAAAGGTTCCTGATTGACAAAGGCTTCCATTAACTTTAAGAAAATAAAAGCATGTCCACACAGTAGGGTGTCAACAGATTTATTTTTTTTCTAAGTATATTTTAATCTCACAATTGCACATCAAACACCTTAAAGATGCTTCATCAGCTTCAAAGTGACAAAATGAAGAGATAAATAAGTTCTGTATTGCAATAACTCACATTGAGTTTGTATTCTGTGCAATTGAATTCTTTTTTATCCAGGCTGGAAAAAACAAAATGCAACAGATTATGTGAGTTATATACATAATTGAAATGGACCACTTTTTACATATAAATTGCCACTTGCAGAATAGTAAATAATATGAAATTTGTCTTTCCAAACGTTTGAGATTCTTGTAGATTTTTATAGGCCTGTGACTGAGAAGACATAAATACTGAGTGTAAAATTCCAATTTGTAATCATATAATGTCATCGCTCTATTCTCCAATCATTTCATTGCCCCTGAATGCATGAAAAGGGACAGGAGTGTCTAGTGGTTATCTCACTAAGCTACCTTCATAATATTTGCCCAGTGTGGAAGCTATTTTCATGAATTTAGAGAAACATAAGCACTATCATGAGTATGGCCTGCAGATCAGGGGTGGGATTCTACCAGTTCAGACTAGTTCTATAGAACTAGTTACGATTCTGCGCAGTTTGGAGAACCGGCAAATTGTGTCCCTGGCTGGCCCCTCCCTTCTCTGCACGCCACTCCCCTCCCAGTCAGTTCTTGTCATGCATGGGCGACATCGCACACATGCCCAATGTCCCTGACTGAGTTCTCCCCTGCCCAGTCACTCCTTAAGGTTTTTTTTTCCTCCCAACGATCAGCTGTTTCGAGATCAGCTGTGCTGGGATCCTCCTTTCTGTCTTACTGTTTCACCCAGGAGGCTTTCCTGAGGCCCAGGAGGCAAAAGGGGTGCAGGAAGCAAAAATACCTCCCAAGAGGCTTCCCTGAGGCCCAGTAGGCCCAAAAAAGGAGCACAAGGGTTGCTGCGTGTCCCCCCTGTGCTCCGTCCTGGCTCCAGGGAAGCCTTCTGGGAGCAAAAATGGAGGCTTCCCTGAGGCCCAG